CAGCATCGATTTGTCTCTGGATTGTAACAATCTTTGACACAAAATACTTTCCAACTTCGTTTGCAAAAGTGGGGGCGTGCAGATTTGAACCGTTTCGACAAGGATTGCTGGAGCGAGGGTTCTGTTAAGAGGAAACTAAGTGTCAGTTACATGAATTAGCATAGAGCGATATATCAGTAGCATGAAACAACATCATGGACTCATTATTTATTAAACAAGTCTATCATTTGATGGTCTGTGAAAGGCGGAAACTAAGGTCAGGCAAAACTGATAAAAGAACTGAATTACGCCCAATGCAAAATTAGGGAAGGTGGGCAGATGAAATTAGCACGAAACTATATTATTATTTATGTTCTCAAGTATCAATTCAAATAAGATAGAATACGCGGAAAACATTTCTTTCCATCTTTGATCTCAGTATTCTCAAATCTTTGTCAAATACAGCTAGCACAAATACATTTGATCTTACCGGAACACTGAAGTGATTATAACTGAATTGGACTGTAGATCAATTTATCCAAGTTGTGGATCAATATTTGTTCCCGAGAAACCGAGCTCAATATAGGTGACTCGAGCTCGAGAGCCTACCCGAGGCATTTTCTTTTGTATGTTAAAGTGTATTTGTGTACTATATTTGCCTCATCCTACGCGGGAGAATGAATAATGATAAGCCTTGGCTGTAACAGAATGATTTTGAATTTCCGCCACAAAGCTTCGACCAAACGCAATAATAAATCATGATACCTTTCGAGTTAAGTACTTTTATTAAAGTATAAAGCAATGGTAGTGGAGAGCATTTTCGTGTCAGTGATATTCCATTGTTCATTCTCTCATCGTTCATCGCAGCAGAAGCGATAAGCTATTCAAAAATATCTCAAGTTAGATAGCGGCTGAATTTTGTTTTGCTTTCTTTTTGTTTTTTGTCTGCTTTTGGGAGGGGGAGTAGCATCTTTGAGCTTAGTGTTTTGAAAAGGTCTAAATGTTTTTTAATTAAACTGCTAGTGATAACACTTCACTCGAAAATTGTGAATGGAAGAACATCAGTTGCCTTTGATGATATCATTTGTTTACTCACTCCCTGAAACACAAGACTATCCAACCAAACAAATATAATGTTACACTTTCAAGACCTTTTAAAGTAACCGTTGAATCTTTTGGAAACTGAAATGAGATGAGGGTGATATCCTCTTATGTGTGTATTTCATCCCGAGTAATTTAGCCAAAATGCACTGTTTTGTTTATGTTACATCCATCAATGGCGCAAATATTAGAGCTAAAGCGTGAGTCAATATTTGCTTGGCTCTTTCTAAGCTTTTCAAACTGAGAAAGCTGGTTTGACGCCTTATATCGAAAGCTAGAATGCAATTCATCAAAGCGTTATTTTTAATGAATTGTGCGTTAGACATGAATTTTTTAAGCTTGTATAACAAAAGATTTGGTAATTGCAAGTTATAAGTCTTCTAAAGTTGTACCCCGTTGGACACGTCTGTTGATTCAGTTGTCGCTAATTTTAAACTTAAACATTAATATTGCAGAGCTTTCTATGAATTCATTTATTCTTAAACTATATTTCTACTGAGGAACTTCTTAAGACATTATTCAAATCAAATGTTTGCCTGTTTGTCCACTTTTTTCTATTTGAAAAGATCTCATAGACAAAACTATTAATAATGTTTGGAAGGCGTCAACTGTTCTGCAAAAATAAATGTCAGAATTACAAAAGACAAGCGATTACAGCTATCCATTATACGTCAGAGAGTTACTGATTAGCTGCAGGAAATTATTTCATCTTTTCAGAATTAGACTCAAGGGAAAAGCTCAGAGCTGTAAGATTGAAACTGTCAATTACTATTATCAATTATTGAAAATATATTTAATGTAAGGTAAGGAAAGCCGTCAATGTTCACCTGATGTCGCCAATTCAAGTTCTCGTTTTGCAGGTGTTATCTCTTTGCTATTCGCTTTTTATAATTCGTCATTACAAGTATAATATTAACTTCTAGAAGCGACTATAAACTTCCTGTATTGATTACTGCTCTTCGATAGTCCTACAGATGAATAATCTGCTGAAGCTTAGAAAATGAAACACAGCCTTTCACAACGTAGAAGCTGTCTTTTTACGATGATGATCTTCATCCTGTTTGGACTGGCCATGACACAAGGTGCTTTCTTTTTAACGTTTTATCGATGCATTCTTAATTTCTCTTCATATCAATAAAGAATTATTTCATGCTTACCGTGCGTATATCGAGTTATGGATCCTTGTGGGAAGTTTGGAGAGCACGAGAGAATGGTACGTAAGAGCTGCTCGAGGCCCAGCCGAGACTGAACTCCAGCTTCTTATGTACTATCCAAATTTCTTAAGTCCATCCATAACTATAGTTGCACAGCCAAAATCATGAACCAATTCTTTTACAACAAAGTGGCCAATTTGTGCTTGAAGAAATAGTTTTTGTGTTATTGTGTCGGGTTTACCATGTAATCGCGATTTACCCGAAAACAATGGGTAAAAGGCAAGGCATAAATGAACAAGAAATATTTGGTAACCAAAACTTAACTGCAGATAAGAAGCTTAAAACGAACGAGTTTCTTGCATTTACCACGAGACCGTGAAGTAGATTCAGCATGTTTCAATTGCTGTTTATTAAAATTCACTTCCAGACGTAATTGGCATCGCGTTTGGGAACGAAGTACCTTTAACTCCAAAGCTAATTTCTTTGCTTCAAAGGTCCACATTCTTATTGTTTTTCTAAAAAAGTATAGTAGATTAGCATATTTACTTTTCATTTGAGCTCCAAAACGTCTATCTAAGTCGGGATGGAACGGAAAAACAATGTCGAAAGGGTTGAAAACTCGACGAGAACTTGCAGCTGAAATGAAATTGCACAGCACACGTCATGTTATGGATGCACGTGCTAATATAAGCGTTTTTGACATGGAATTTCCCATTTTCTTCTATCCAACTGGTGCATTCATGGCGACCTCTTTCATTTATTCATGGGTCCAAGGCGTTAGAAAATATCTGCGAAGTTTTGGCATGCTGGTTTTAGCTTGAGGTTCACATTTTTAGCCCAGTGAAACCATCAATTAATTTACGGCATAGATTTATATCTGAATTTATAACTTCAATGCTAGAATTGAGCAGTGACTCGGTTTTATATATGTAAATGAGTCGTGCAAACCCCTCAATGTTTCTGAAAATTGTTAAACAGCATCGCACTAAATAACTCTGACCTAGATTATGACATTTCTTCGACACAGAAATATATTTTTTGCACGATATATGAAGGCGAAGCTTTATTTGAACTTGAAATGTAAAATCGAATCTTGACTCGATTCCTTACAGGTGTTTCTCACGTCAACTTCGAGCCTAAAGAGTTTGCTTATCTCAACATCACAAGAATCAGCTCACAACTTGTCCGAAAGGACATCGAGTGTGGATTTGCCTGTTTGGAAATCACTTCATGTTTCTCTTATAACCTGGCTGCATTTCCCGATGCCAATGGAAAACTGTCATGTGAACTGCTTCCATCGGACAAGTATAACAACTCAGACAAATTAATCTACAGCCCGATTTTCAACCATTTCAGTATCCCGGTAGGTGCAAATTTATTTGCTTCAGTTTTTGCAACTTACTGGAAAAAAAATGGTTGTCAGAGGAATAGTGTGAACTAAATTTATAGCATTATCAGTGGCCAAAGAAAGTCGAGAATACATATTCAGAAGTACTTTCATCAGCCCATTTTCTCTAATTTTGTATAACCATAGTGTCCACCAATCACAGACCGTCGATTGATAGAGCTGTTTAATAAATAACGAGTCGTTGATATTGTTTCATGCTACTGACAGCTTATTCACTTTAAACAGAACCCTTGCTCCA